ATTATTATTGCCTTAAGTACACTGTAGCTATTGTTCATTATGACAAACAAAGCTATAGAATATTTCACTTTTGTTTTTACATCAGCGCCAAATTCATATTTGAAAGAAAAACACCAGAAACAACACAGAAGGGTAGTACAATTGGCTGAAATGATACTGACCTTTCACCTCCAGGTTGACAAACATCTCCTGGTTGCCCTTCCTCGTGCTCGTGTAACATTTGTACCGGCCCTTGTCTTGAACTTTGACCCTCCTGAGAAGCAGGGAGGCGTTGCCCTGAGGGATGTGAGAGTTGAACAGGCAGGTCCTGCCGCTGAAGTGCTTGTTCTGGTGCCCAAACTGGTCCTTGTTGTAGTAGTAGCTGTGCACGGGGGTCTGCTGCTTGTACCAGTGGATCACCACGGTGCCGACGGGCCTGAAGCTGCAGGGCAGGAGGCAGTCGTCAGGGATGATGCACGTCACGTTGGCATCGGCTAATAACACTGTGATACAAAATTCAATTCAATTCAAATGTATGTATATAGCCCAATATCACAAAATACATTTGTCTCAGAGGGCTTCAAAAATCAAAAAACATGAAGGATAATTTAAAAACAACAAACATATCTGAGAATATATTAAAATGACAAGATAAATGTGAAAATACCAACAACACATTATATGTCAGTATTGATAGCACTGCATTGTTCATATATTTATATCACTATAACTGCTGGAGAAATAACAGCTGTACTTCTCAAAATTCAAGTATCGCCATATCTGATTCTTTATTAGGATCGCCATTAGCACTGCATTGGCTATTCTTCCAGGGGTCCTCACACACACAAAACATACATAAACATACATTAAAAAAAAGTAACTTTGATACAAACAATTCTATGTCAGTATTGATAGCACTGCATTGTTTATATATTTATATCACTATAACTGTTAGAGAAATTACAGTTGTACTTCTCAAAATTCAAGTATCACCATATCTGATAGTCCTGTTGTTTTCCTGTAACACCTGAATTAATACTAACACATTATTTTGAATGTTTTATCATATGGTATAATTAACCCCTGGATTTTTGAGGGAAAGAAATGTATGTTCTTTATATAATAATAAATGAGAGAATTAGTTATTATCAAATGTTCCGGGTCAGTTTTAACAGCTGTACTTTGTGATATGTACACTACGTGTTTTACTTCACATCATTTCAACCATTTCCAGCCATGTGTGATTTGAGTTTGCAAATGTCAAGAGTTCATAGTCAACAGATCTCACTAACAGTTTAGATCAACGTGAAGAACTTTAACATTTGGGAATATGCTCAAATTGGTTGCAAAACAGTATTATTTGTCTTGTTATTAGGTCACTGCTGCTGCACTATCCTTAAATTCAACCTCAAAGACACACAGCTGCTGCAACAACAACAACAACAACAACAACAACAACAACAAGAACAACAACAACAACAACAGCGTGTCAGAATCAGGAATCCTCAGATTTAGCAATAATGTATTACTGATTTTACACAATTGTGAAATGCAGAATTCCTCCAAAAGAGCCTCTGTCCTCTGAGTTTTATTGTCTAATAAACATCTAAGCTGTTAGTTGAACTACAATAAAGACTTTTTTTAATCGGTGACCCACTTGTGTGCAGCTCACAGCTGGGGAGCTCTCTGAGGAAAAAGTGCAGCTGTGTTTACTGCTGTTGTGAAAATATAAAAGCAAACTAATATTATATGTATTTTTTGCAGCATTTGTCATTCTCAATCAAATCTGACATTATATACTCACTGAGTTGTAAAATAAGTGTTGACATACAAATCAGTGTGCCATGCTCTTTATACACATAAATCAATAACAATCATCTTTGGAAGGATGATATCATAGCTTTGTGGTTATTACAATAAAAACATATACCTCTTAAAAGGGTAACATCTACACTGCCTGCAAAATAAGACCATTATTACTCTTAACTGATTTTTCAATAGGAAATAAGAAACCCTAACCCAATTTTTTTTTTGTATTTGCCAGAATTATGAAGTGATTGTGATTTATTTTTCCAAAATAAACATTGGCTGACCAAAATAAATCAAAAATCTTACTGCAAAAAGACACATTGCAGTAGCTTTTAAAAGCATTTAATCTATTTCATTCCCTTTGTTTAAAATAAATCACTCATCTGTGAACTTAATGAACCTAGTATTACAATACCTTTTGAGTGTGTCTGTGACAATTTCTCCAAGAAAATAAGCAGCATTATAATGAGTCCGTGTGCCTCTGCCATGTCAGACAGCCTCCTTTGTTGCTCCAGTCACAGTATTTGGCATGAGTGTGAAAACACAGCGGTGTGCAGTGAAGTGTTTCTGTGGGACTCCACTTCACATCCTTCCTAACGCTAATGAAACACTGACTAATTAACCAGGCAGGTAAAAGTTTAACCAGGCTCCTTGTGAATGCTTCATCACACCTCTCTAGTGACATAGTTCACAAGAACACATGAAACACCTTCTGAAAATAGACTTACTCATCACATTCAAGATCTTCTGGCTAAAAATATCAGTATTTTTAAAGGAGAAAGAAAACACAGAGAATTTTTCAGAGAAAAAGCAGATGAAGACGTTTAGGTGGACAAAAATTCAGGACATTAAGCTACACATTTAAGTTACACTGTTATAAATCCCTTGTTAATGTACTATATTCCCCTAAGAAAAATATTCTGGAATAAATCAATCCCCCTCTTTTTTGTATATAGACGTTTACTTTTCGTTTAGCGCCAGTTGTAAGAGGCTTCAGTCCCATGTGACCCTGCAGAGGCATTGAAAAGTATTACAAAAATGCAAGGATGTGATGGTATTTGTCTCCAAAATATTTCAGTTATGCTTAATCTCTGTCATTTACAAGTTGCACACATATTTTCTATGTGTGTGATAATGCTGTAATGCTGATATTGTGGTTTAAACACACAGTGGGCGGTGTGTGTGTTAATGCATTGCACTTCCTAACATACTTTGACAGATGATGACCTCTAGAGGGCACAGATGAGATGTCACTTCCATAAATGAGTGTCCGCCTGCGGTCCAGCAGCTGACGGGTCACATGTCAAGAGCCAAGGGCCACGTGCATATTCTTTAAGATGGCATTGCTCATGTCAGCCCTCAATCAACTGTAATCCCAGATTAAAGGGAGCATACCACTACAGTTTGTTTCCATCGCTGATTATAAAGTTTATCTTTCTCTGCTGCAGGTTTTCATTCCTTCCTTGATTTAAAATAGCACCATTCAATGTTCTTTTTCTATGAGTTTACTGTTATTCCTCACTTGAATTTAAATTCAAACTACTTATTCAAATCAATTTGAACAAGTTGTAGTTTACTTTTCCTTTCATTGTCATTAGCAATACAGGGTCATTTACTATATGTCTATTGCGCATCACATGACCATTGGCCCATTAACAATCTGTCATGTGGATGCTGCTTATTGTATGTGGACAGCTTGCTAGTTCATTTGAATGCTGATAATTATTATTATTATTATAAGCATTTAGAAAAATACCAAGGATAAAGAGCTAGGGCTACAAGCAGAGGACCCAGGATTGAATCCGGCTCAGGACCATAAATAATTATGAGAACATAATAACCTGAAATAAAGGCACTGGCTGCCCCCCCCAAAAATAATAATATTAATTTGCTTGTACGGTATCACTCGCCATTCATGTGGGTTGAAATCTGTAGGAAAACTGAAAAAATAAATGTGTGAAAAGTGTGAAATGCAATAAATCATTACAAGATTGAGTATGACTTCAAAAAAATGCCAACAAATAGGGGGGGGGGGGGGGGGGGGGCAGTAAACAGACAGTTCAATGGGGCTGCGAGCGTCCATTAGGAGAGGATAACAGGCTATATTTGGCTGGATGTGACTATGAGGTGATGAAGTGACGTATACAGAGAGGGTATAAAAACCACATAATCCTAAAATAAATTGACTACCGGTAGTTTTGGGCTTGGACAGAATAATAGAAAAACTATTATCAGTTTTTATCATATTTCAGAAGTTAAAATGGACATAATGGTATATATCTATATATATATATAATACTAGTATATTGTTTTTTGTAGATGAACTGGATTGGGTTTTACTGTGTTGTTAAGCATTGCTTTTTTGTTGTTGCCATTTTTGGACATTTAAGTAACATGTCAATACACTTTTTGCAAAAAAATGTGTATCTGAAATCTTTCATGTCTAAGTTAATGAGCTGAATGCAAAGGATCATTTGTACTAACTCTATCTGTAATCCCTTTTTCCTTGTATTTAGCTGGACGGAAGCAGCTCAAAGCCTCCGTTAAGTAAGCATATCCACTGCTGTGAATGGTCTCTGCTGCAATGTTTGCTGATGTTGTCGAGACGTTATGCTCGCATCTGCCTTGGATAGGATCCGTCCTCCAACCATCGAACTGTGTACTGAGGGAAAATCCTGCAATGTATAAAAGTAGGCTGCAGGCTTTTTATTTGTATCTGCTCAGAATGATGATGAAACCGCTGGTTGTATTATCCTTATCCCCGCCCACTGCTGCCTCCAGTTTGTAGGTTACTGAAAGATTTCACCAACCACAGATAAGAAGATTAGAGAGAGGAATTAATGGTATTCCTTTGTCATTATAGGAATAAATTGATATTTGGTTTTAAATCAGAGGGTGGGGACAGCGGGGAGTTACATGTTGTGTCAGCAGACGTCAGCAGAGGGATGGCACAGTGGACAGCAAATGCAACCAGGGAGATTCCTGTGACTTGGAGCTAAGCGCTGGATATCTGGCCGATGTTCACCATGTTAGAGGAGATGAAACAGCAGGATAATGAAGATGCGTATGTGCGTGGCGGGACAGAATGAGTGCTGCTGGGTCATGGAGGTGCCAGTAGAGGACAGGGACAGCTGTGGCATTCCCTGGGCGAGACACTGACGCAGCGGGAGGAACGTTTGGGTTCCTCTCGTCTCTCCAGCACCAGCCTAACCATGAGACTGGCCCTCCTGGCCTTCAGACTGATGTGCTTGGCCTGGCTGTGGCCCCTCACCCACAACAGCAGCCACTCAGCAAAAAAGAGGAGACACAAGGAGCACATTGGAGAGAGCACCAAGCAGAAGCATGGAGGGTGAGCTAAAGTGTGATTTCTCCTTATGATTCTTTGCTTTGTAATCGTGGAGCTGCTTTTCTGATCAAAAATATTTTTATTGCGTTTCGACAATGCATAAGTAATGTTTGTCATTTAGAATTGGAAAGCAAAATATATTTATACAAATGAGACAATGGTCTGTACTGATTGTATGTACAAAGAGAAAAAGGAATGACAAAAAACACAAACCAACAATAACAACGACTAAAGTAATCCCCTACATTCACTACCTCATATACACGATTTCTCATATACACAATTATTTATCAGGAACATTGTTAAATTAATATTTGGAGCTGCTTTTACTGTTTGAAATGTCGACCTATATCATTTTGTGGCTCTGTGTTCTACTTCACAATGTCATCAAATATATGGCTATGAATATTGAAATACAAATAACGAAATGTAAGAGCAGGTGATTTATCATGTGAGGTGAAAGGTAATCTGGACATGAGACTGAACAGGTATTTTTTTTAGTGTAGTGCTTAGTACAGCAGTGAAAATCTGAAAAATAAAAGATCACAAGGATTTCTAGGAAGACAGTAAAAACAGATGTGCATTTTGAATAAATAAAAGGTGCAAGGTGAACCTATAAGACACAAGAAAGGGCAACACGATGTCTCCAACCCAGTTATGTGCGAACAGTTATGGAACTTCTCATTTCCTCTAGACCAAAGCCTTGGGTTGTAATCAGAGTGCTAAAGTCCAATTAACCATCACTAACTCCCTCGACCAGATGTCAGTTCTGCTTCAATGATGCGTACGTGTCAGAGAAGGAGTTTCTACATTAATCTGTCATTTGTTCTCTTTGCTTTTCAGACGAGTTGATCTTAAACTGAAAAAGCTGGACAGCACCAAGTCTCTGCTAATTAAATCTGAGCAGCTGCTTCGGATTGAAGATCATGACTTTGCAATGCGGCCTGGCTTTGGAGGTAAGAAACACAAATCAAATATATCTATTCACAGAAAGCCTGAATATATATTTAATCAAATATTCTTTCTCTTTTTGAAATGCATTTTCGTAACATGTGCTCTCCTGGCAACTCAGGGAAGTTTAAGTAGGTTACTGTGCTGCTGTTACGCCAACCACAAAAACCACTGGTGACCTAGATTGTCTGCTGTGTGAGACGATGACAGACAGCCTAGTAGGCTACAGATAAAATAATCTGTGTACTAATTCTGTGGAGGACGGGAAGAAAAGCCTAATGTTATATGACATTTTCGTGTTGCATAATTATTAGAATTTAAAACTAGAAATGTTTTATTTGTATCCCCGTTTCAAAGACTGTAGCAAATCTGTACACAACAAGCTTTGTGTTCTTTCTGTGCCTCGTAGCCGGGTGAGGATTTAGTTTTGATTTTAACTATACATTCATAAACCATGAATAATCAAAAACAAACTTTACATGAAAAGAAAATGCTCTGGTGCTTCAGAAACTGTCTGTTTTTGTCTGCAAAGCATTGGGTGGCTGTCTTAATCCTTTCAGTGGATGTGTTTACGTTTCTTTTTAATCAGACGCACAAAATAACAGTCGTCTCCGAGTCCAACAAGTGACTCTTTCTTGACATTTACGAGCAGCTATTTTAAAGGCCTTCATTGCCGAGGTGTTGTCCTCTGACAACTAGACTGTAACAGACTTCCTGCATGTGTCAACTCTTATGTCACCTGTTTTCTTTGCAAACAATAAGGTCTTACAAAACCAGCATTGTGTGGCTGGTTTGAATTTAATGTTCTGTAGAAACCTGTATTTCTGGTGTATCAGTGTGTGTTTGGTTTTCTTCTGGTACACTTGTGAACTGTATGAGTTCCTCTCATTATAGTTCTTGATGCACATCAGTAAATACACATTTTGCTTTCTGAATACCTTTTGTCAAACATTACATTTTCTCATCGGAAAACAGTCTGTCTGGAGAAAATATTGTAAAGGTTTGGCCAGTAACCATTACTTTCCGTTTCATGCAACGCTGATGTTTCAAATAGCAACTAAAGTCGTGACAATGGAGTTAGAGTTGAGAGACAGCGTTTACAACATATTTTATTCCCCAGCAGCTTTTTCCTAGTTCATTTTAAGCCAATGAAAAGCTAAATTGACATCAAATGATAGGGTTGCAGCATTGCATTACGGCTAATGCGTTTCACTTTTGCTCTCTGCACAGCCTTTCAGCTGCGTACAACCAAAGCGTGCTCTAATGTGTTCGCTCGATACCAATTGGACTGCAAACAGAAATGTTTAAACACCTCTTGCCTACCGATTCTGAATGAATATTCTGTCATGTTTTTAGCAATATTCAGTGACATAACATTAAAACCTTATTAAAGAAATTAAAGCCTTTACCTCCAGGACCCTACCTGCCTGATATAATCACTCCCACTCCACTACTCCAATGTAATCGTAGACTGATGGCTTACCTTCATTAGATAATGGCACAGAGGGAACGGGATGTTTAGTACACATCATACGTTTACAGCGTGACTGGGCGATGAGGGATAAGGTCCAACTATACACTATATCGAATATTTAGATAACTTTACAATGGGTACATTGGCGTTGAAACATTTCAGTTGTTTAAGTAGATGTTTGGGTTTATCAATGCAGACAGCCGCCGGCATATGCGCTCACAATCGAAGTAGATCCTCTTTTGTTGCGCTGGTCAATAATAGGCTGGCAACACATGCTCGGAGAGAAGAACAAATCCTTAGTTTGTTTCCTGGCTCTGAACCCATTTGACATATTTTCCCAGTTCGGGTTTATCAGGTCATGTGAACTGAAATACCCCCTAATAGGATTTTTATGACAGTGATTGTTATGGTAGTCTGTTATGAGTAACACAAGGGATATTTATATCCATGCAGATTCTGGTGAGACAGAATTTTGTGATTTAAATCTGAACGGTCTCAAGGCATCTCTAAACTCAGTCATGCTTAAGAACTAGCCAGGGCATCGCTCTAATCCAACTTTTTGTCTTTGTATTCTGTCAAATCTAGTTTATGTCGTACTGTATATGTCACGATGTGGGATTTACACTTAAATAATCCCTGGCAGATGTGTGATTCGTGGACAGCGTGTTACTGTAGCTGAAAAGCTGATCCACTGCGTTTGACCTTTTGTAGGTTCTGCTATTCCTGTCGGCATTGATGTTCAGGTGGAGAGCATTGACGGTATATCTGAAGTAAACATGGTACGTGCTAATAGGATATATGCACTTAGTCTAGGAACAGTGTTTCCTTTTCTCATCTGAACATCAGGGTTGTTTGGTTTTCAGGACTTCACCATGACGTTGTACCTGAGGCATTACTGGCAGGACGACCGCCTGGCCTTCCCCTCCAGCAGCAATAAGAGTCGTACCTTCGACGCACGTCTTGTGAAGAAGATTTGGGTTCCTGACGTGTTCTTCGTCCACTCTAAGCGTTCTTTTATCCACGACACAACCATGGAGAACATCATGTTGAGGGTTTTTCCTGATGGCAATATTCTCTACAGTGTCAGGTAACAAAAATACGTTTTGTTAATATTATGTGGCACATGGAAGTTGCTTGTTTTTGTTGTCACTTTTAAGGACACCTTAATGGTCATCAATATTTTGAAATGCCTTAGCACATTAGCAAAAAAGAAAATGTAGTAGCTTGCAGTATGTGATGTGTATTATTGCAATTGAATTCAACTGCATATCCGAAGAGGAAGAATGTGATTCCTACTGTACTTCCAAAGCTTTCATTGTCCAGCTTTAAGTGTACCTGCGCATATAGATCTAATTTAAGGAGTTATGATTGAATCATTTGCATATAGTCCGGTAATTCAATTCACGTTCGTTTTATTTTGTAAATATTAGAGGAAATTAGAGGAAATCTACAGATCAATAAAGACAAAGTGAAATGAATACCTTAAGGTGTGTTTTGGTTGTTTTCATTCCACCAGTCTATGGAAACAAAGCAGCCCAGAATTGCGCAGTGCATTACACTGAAGGGTTTCGCCTTAAATAATAAAACCATTTTATAAAAAAGGACGTCAACCAAGATATGAAACAATCCAGTGGACTGTTAATGCAGGGTTTAATGGGCATCGCCTGAAATAAATATAAGTAGCTTTCAGACGACATTCATCATATCCATTTCAGCCACAGATGTCGTCAATATGGCGTCTTCCCGACAGATTGTAGCGCCAGCGGCCTCTGAGAGAGAAAGTTAGTGCATGAATACATAATTGAATGTCCCTCTCCACCACCGTATGTTCAAATCAGTCCAGTGATATTGTTTTATACACTTTCTGACATCTTGCTTGATTTATGTGGGTGTTTCTCTGACTGTAAGCTGTGTTTCAGGATCACGGTGACTGCACTTTGCTCCATGGACTTCAGTAGTTTCCCTCTGGACACACAGAATTGCTCTCTGGAGCTGGAGAGCTGTAAGTACCAAACTACAGTTGGAACATTTCCTGTTGTTAATGCTTGATAGGGAATTTAAATCGGTTTTCCTGAGGATTTATGTACATTTTTTTGCAATGCTTGCTTGGCATGTTTTGCTGAATAACATGTTACATAACTTTTGATACGCTGGTTTTTAATTCAAAAAGCATCGGCTAGTGATACTGCTGAGCTCACTAAATTACATGAAGCAGTAGCCAAGCTTCATAAACGCACTGTAACCCCCGCCATCTTCTTTTTGCACTGAGTAAATATATCATAATCCTCATTCAGCTCTATCTCTGCCCATTATAAAAGTCTGCTCTTCTAATGAAGGACTTACTGGGGATTCTGTTTTTCTGAATCCCTGAACTTGAATTTGGGATTAATTTCCATGTTGGGAATCTTTTGTTACTGCTTCCATTTCTCTTTATCTGTCTTAAATTATTTCATGGATGAAGCATGGATCCTGATCTCACAGGAGAGGCAGGAGTACCCTTTCTGTGCAATCTTTCCTCTCCTCTGATCCATGACTCTTTTTGTCAACATCAAAATGTTGACCCCCCTCTCTCCTCTCCTAAAGATGCTTACAATGAAAACGACCTGATGCTCTACTGGAAGAATGGGAATGATTCTTTAAGGACTGACGAGATCGTGCTCTCTCAGTTTTTTGTTGAAGATTTCCAGCCTTCCTTCGGGCTCGCCTTCTACAGCAGCACTGGTATGTGAGCTCAAAGCCGCGAGGGCCCCTCAAACACAAACAAAAAAGTCAAACTAAATAAGCCACCAGAGCTGTTACTGTTCTTTAAATGATGAGCGATAAGAGTATGATATTTTTTAATGAGTTTATCACCTCAAATTCATGCATGACCTTTCCTCTTCTACCTAAATCAGGGGTGTCAAACTCAATTTCATCGCGGGAGATATCACCATTATTGTTGCACTCAAAAGGGCCGGTTGTAACTTTAAGACTATATAAATATAAATATATGATATATATAAAATAATGTATTATATTACGTTATTGCCTCTGTATTGGATTATTATCAGATAGGGTCATAACTTCATAATTAACTACATCTGAAAGCACAGGTCTCTTCAGTGCGCATGTCACAAAATGAGATGCATTGTGCGACATGTAGTTTATGGGCAACGTATTATATTCTTTGCAAGCTCTTGCCGGCCACATAAAATGAAGTCGCAGGCCTTGAGTTTGACACCCCAGACCTAAATGAATCAGTAACACTAAGGCTAAACATCCCGAACTATAGTGCAATGTTGTTTCTGTGGGTTGCCTTATCATTTAAGCATTGACTAAGCCCACTTTTTGAAACCCTGCCTGCTTTGACTGTCGCAATTTCAATATGAGCAGAAAGCAAGGGGAGCAAGGGAGATTTTCTTCTGAGTGTGAAGTAATCTTGTGGGGACCTTTCCGCTCTGAGAGCTTGTTATATAACTGCAGCTCTAGACAGAAAATAATCACTTTGCCAACTGAGGTCTAGGTTCTCCCTGGAGATCCATCTAGTACTTTCTTACATTCACAACTTATACTTTATTTTTCATGTTTTTTTTGCAACATTTTCCAGAGTTTTCTGCTGCTTCTCACTGTTATTATGCCATGCTACCCACTCTCTACCCCACCTCCACTTTCTGTCCGTTTGTCTGTTTCAGGTTGGTACAATCGGCTCTACATAAACTTCCTTCTCAGGAGGCACATCTTCTTCTTCATGCTTCAGACATACTTTCCCACCATGCTCATGGTGATGCTGTCCTGGGTGTCTTTCTGGATAGACAGGAGGGCTGTACCTGCCCGTGTCTCTCTGGGTACTGAGACTACGTCTTAATTTGACCTTTAACACATGTTGACAGATTTATTCAACAAATACAATTTAACTTGTCAACTTTATCCAAAATCATCAGTTTTACTTATAAGAAATGCTTAACAATTTAGGTATTTACCTTTTCTAATTTATTATGGAGAGATAAGAGCACTGTTTAGCTTCTATTGTTTAGCACAACAATAGAAAATAGGGGGAACACTTAATAGCTAAAAATGAAAAAACAATGGTGAATTCAAGAGGCAGATATTATGACAATAGTCTTTAACCCAATTCAATCTGATAATGTAAACTACATCCCAAGACCTGGTCTTAAATAGTAAATAAAGCATTTGAAATGTTTTATCAATCACTCGTAGGTATGACGTAGTTATGTTGTTAAACAGCAGTATGTTTTTCTTCTGTACTAAAATGACTTGTAGTGTTCAGATCAAAGATTAAATTATTGTAGTTATAAAGATATTAAAAAACTAACAATTCCCACGGAGAATATTTATAATGCAACTTCGGTTTGTTTTATGCCTATTGAGTACTGGTGTGGTGTTTCTGATATGAGGACTTGATAATGATATTGTGGATAGGGCTATCCACAATATAATTTTTTTTTTTTTAATTGCTCCTTTGTATGCAGGCATCACCACGGTCCTGACGATGTCCACCATCATCACCGGTGTCACAGCCTCTATGCCACAGGTGTCTTACGTCAAGGCCGTAGACATCTACCTGTGGGCCAGCTTCCTGTTTGTCTTCCTGTCTGTCATCGAGTACGCTGCTGTCAACTACTTCACTACCGTGGAGGAGATGAAGAGGCTCAGGAAGGCAAAGGTCATATTCAGCTGTTTGTGGCCTAGAATATCTTGTTAAATAAATAAATAATACCAAATAAATACTAAATAAAACTCCTCGTCTGCTTTTGCCACTTCAGATCCCAGACTCCTACGACGCCAACCAGGCTATGGCGTTCGATGGCTGTTTCCATGACAATGACATCGACCTGACTCCTTTTCCAGACACAACCAGCACCTCAAACACAGAGAGGAACACGCAGTCTCGAAACTCTACCGTCTCCGGACCCACCGAGGGAACGAGGCTACGCCGCAAGCACCCTTTACTACAAAACCTTAGCTTCATCATGAGCAACAGCTACATGATCGACTCCTACTCCAGAGTCATCTTCCCCCTGGCTTACCTGCTCTTCAACATCATTTACTGGAGTATGTATGCATCGTAAATCACCTATGCATCAGAGGAAACTATTTATTTAAGACTATTTCCACCACAATACAGTTTAACACCAACAGGCTGCAATAAACTGATTAACAAAACTCTGCTATGGGATTCGACCTCAAGTCTGTCTGCTGATGATATCGTGCATGATGTCGTCTACATGGAAAACATCTGGGATCAGCTGTTGCATTGAATGGCTGGCTATTTTTGCTGATGTTTATATTTTTTTCTCGCATGCCTGTTTTATAAGAAACATAGTTTTATTTAAACAAATGTGTTCTATTTTATTTCTTGATTAGACACAGAACATCTTAAAGTATAATAACTGTACATTGTCTTGAAAAATAAATGGATGTTGTGTGTCAAGTTTAAAAATATAATTCTGACAAATATTTACTTTGCTTCATTTTACTTAGTTTTTTTCTTATTTTATTTATTTAAAGGTGGGGTAGGTAAGTTTGAGAAACCGGCTCGAGATAACATCCCGATAGCAATGAATATCTTAAGTGCTTTGACAAAAAATCCATAAAGAAATATCATCTGTGGAAGCCGTAGTACTGTAAAAAGCACGACCAATCATTTTAGCCGGCCCGGCTAAAATAACTGGATGGCCTACCTGCCTGTCAGCCTTCCATCTGTGCACAAACTTATCTCGTGCCCTCATTGGTCATGTACGCGTTCGTGTGTGTTGGAGGAGGGGCTCTATAAGGAAGTGGCAGATTTTCTCCGGTTGTGTATTTTCAAATTCTAGCGATCTCGAGCCGGTTTCTCAAACTTACCTACCCTACCTTTAACAGGGACAGTGCACATTAATCAACATTCCTTTTCATTTAGTGCCAGAGTTAGCCAAGATGCTATTTTTCATCTGTAGTAACCGGACAGATTTTGTAAGTCACCCTAATGAGACAAAATGTCATTTAAAATAACGAGTAAATACAATCAATAAAAACATGCAACATCCAATACTGGAAATGTTAATAAAAAAACAATAAAACAAAACATACATATTATGAAAAAGAACAGGTTAAAGCTCAGGCAGTGCAGACAGACAGTGGGTTGTAAGGTGCAGAAGATTGTATCAGTGTTGACAGAGCTGATTCCTTACCAACTATTTAATTGGGATTTAAATACACTGAATGTATTATGTTCTCTGATTAGGGATTGAGTTCCATTGTTTAGCAGCTTTAACAGAAAATGAAGATTGACTGAAATAACCTTTCCTGGGTGGAATCATGCAATCTCCTCTTGCTGCACCTCTTGTCATCCTATTTGCGGTTGTCCCTATGATAATAATATCTGTGTACTTTAGCCATAGACATTAATTAATATCAATTTGACGACAATGTGTCAGTCTTAGCCAAAAGGCATTATTTATCTTTGCTCCGCTGCTGTGGCGGTGAACAAACACAGTTAAGGTGCAGCCCTAAAAAACGAAACAATGAGCTGAAAGATGCTAAAATGTGCGACTATTTTCAAAATACAAGTAGTCATGTTCTCTATTAAGGAATTATTGCCCATTTAGGATTAAAAGCTGAGGAATTAAATTGCTTTATCGATCGTGGAAACAGCAGTTGAGAAAGGGATTAATGTCAAAGCCCTTCCTCCACCATCTCATGACGATCATAGCATGTAGAACAGACACTACTTCATGCTATCGATCAAACACATGCAAGCCCATATGACAACCAAGAGTGACATAACAGAGGATTAATAGATCATAACAGCAGGCATACAGCACATCTACATTAGACATTTAACAGTATATGTATGGGAATTGGATAGAAGCTTTTATGTGCTGCTGGGAGTTTTTAAACTTATAGCCTATATGATGCCGTAACCCAATAATACATTATTGTTTATTCTTTAAAGGTCTCAGTGTGACAGGAGTGACAATACACTCAACAATATACAAAAAAAACAATTACATGCTATGCTGTATACCATTTTACAAAAAGATACCCACTTTTATATGTTAACATGAAATGAGTTTAAAGGATTGGAGCAAATGAGAAAATATGGAGGGAAGGGATTAGAGTTCATAAAGTCAGTCATACCCCGGTTGCATAACATGGTGTTAATGTACTTGAAGCCAGCAGGAAGTCCGTTTCATCAAAGCTTATGATGAATAATGTGAAGAAACCTGACCAGAGTTATTTTCTAAAAGCTTAGCAGGGGGGAATATCAGTGCACAATATAGTTCAAATTGAAAAATAGGAAAACATGAACATTTTAATATTTGCTCTGGTCTCATTTGTGTGTGTGTACATCTGATCTTTATCCTTATGTCGCCCCCTAGTGTACAAACTGGGAACACCTATTATTCCACTGTTCCTTCCTTTATTATTTACCGGTAACGCAAGCTGGTCCCTTGTCAAATTATTTTGGTACCACAATATAATAAGTGTTGTTAAAGGTGGGGTAGGTACGTTTGAGAAACCGGCTCGAGATACACTTTTTGTTATATTCCATGGAATGCTCTTAACATCCCGATAGCAATGAATATCAAAAGTGCTTTGACAAAAAATCCATAAAAAAATGTCATCTGTGGAAGCCGTAGTACTGTAAAAAGTACGACCAATCATTTTAGCCGGCCCGGCTAAAATAACTGGATGGCCTACCTGCCTGTCAGCCTTCCATCTGTGCACAAACTTATCTCGTGCCCTCATTGGTCATGTGCGCGTTCGTGTGTGTTGGAGGAGGGGCTCTATAAGGAAGTCTGAAGGAAGTGTCAGATTTTCTCCGGTTGTGTATTTTCAAATTCTAGCGATCTCGAGCCGGTTTCTCAAACTTACCTACCCTACCTTTAACATCCCGATTGCTTTGACAAAAAATCCATAAAAAAAATGTCATCTGTAGAAGCCGTAATACTGTAAAAAGCACGACCAATCATTTTAGCCGGCCCGGCTAAAATAACTGGATGGCCTACCTGCCTGTCAGCTTTCCATCTGTGCACAAACTTATCTCGTGCCCTCATTGGTCATGTGCGCGTTCGTGTGTGTTGGAGGAGGGGCTCTGTAAGGAAGTGGCAGATTTGTTCCGGCTGTGTATTTTCAAATTCTAGCACACTCGAGCTGGTTTCTCCAAAATTACCTACCCCACCTTTAATAGTACGTTTTTGAATGTAAAAAAAAAAGAATACATAACTAATCTGGGCTATCAGGATATGAATGTTCAGATTCAGGAACCCTTTGTTTACATCCGCTGCCAGCATTTTTCCATATTTACTATTTAATTTAACTTTATTTAGTACATGAGCAGTGTGGCTTTTGCACACACAACCACATGACATTAAGTTCAGGTAAGTGTGTGTGCACTCTATAGGTGTAACTGTATTACAGTACAGTAAATATAGAGGTTAGCCTACGTAAATATAATTTAAACTGCTACAATAATTGATTAAATTATTATGCGTGATTCAATGAGTGGAGCTGCGTCTGTATTAAAATAAATATAGAGGTTTGCCTGTGTAAATATAATTTAAAATGCCACAGTAAGTAAGTAAGTGAGTTCAGGTGCGTCACATAAAAACCCCTCCTATTAAGAGTCATGAAAAGCAGGTGCATAACAGGACATACACATAATGCTGGTATGTGATTTTGTATTACGCAACAGTAAATATTTGTATGCCCTTTCTACAATTAGTTCAAGTCATGTCGTCACTAGTTACATTAACAAGGCTAGGACACACCCTTAGGCGCACCTTTACTGACAAACAAATCAGAATCAGAATCAGAATCAGAATACCTTTAGATAGAAAACCCCTTGCATAAACCTACACAGACATTAGCGGTGGACATTTAGGCTAATCATTTTTGGAGGATTGTACAGCAATGAGCCTTCTTTGAACTGGTCTAAACTCAAATCATTTCCAGTTTTGGGAGGTAGACATTGTTGAGCAGGTAAAGTGAATGTTTGCACCTGTTCAGGTTGACGTTCCAGGGGCGTGCCATATGTGTCAGCTTTTGATCCTGCATGGGAAAGTCACAGTGAACTCACTCAGCAGTCTGTCAACAACGCAAGCAACAACGAGTTTGTGTCGGCAGGGAGAAGAAAATGCACACATAAAGTTTGTGTTTTGGCTTTGTTTTCAAGGCTAGTATTCACCCTCGAGAAGTGATGTCCCAAGGAAATGAGGCTAAAATGAAGAGGACATCTGCTGGCTTTTGTTCTTATGGATCTTCAAGTCGACACACGTTTGGCCCCTCTGTCAGGTAAAGAGGTGCGGCTGGTTTTGGTGTGTCTGCTTTTCCTTTAATAGTGCCCACAGCTGGTTTGAAACTGGATTACCCACCAAGCTCTTCTATTTACATATTTATTATTTACACCATATTTGTCTTCATTTAAAGAAAGTGTATGTTGTCGTCTTTTACTTTTTGGCTTTGATTGTGAATATACTATTTCATATTTAGCTTGGGTATATTAAGTGAAGTTCAGGATAATATTTCCAGACATAATGGCAGTTCAGATAACGTTAAGGGGCAAAAGAAAACATTCCCAAGATGAATGGGTCTGTGGATTTGTACTGTTGATGTAAAATTCTTCTTCATCATCTACATACTGAAACAAAAGATTTTGATTTGTTGAGCAACATCGGTCCTCTACTCTAATCATCGTGTTCTCACCTGTCACAGCTATTGCTTAGATGTTTCTTCTCTCATTTTCCTTTTCTCTAATTCTAATATACTCTATTCTTCCTCAAGTCAATGTACTAACGTTAACTACATTACGTACAGGATGTGAAAAGGGTTAAATTACATTTCAGTCGAGCCCACTGCCTCGAAAGGGCTTAGCTGACTAAGTTATATTTGTTGCCCTCTCAGTTGAAGCTTCATGTATCTACAGTATATATGTCTCGCTGTGTTGTGGCCCTAGGTGTGCGTGTTAGGTAGAGTGCTGACCAGAGCAAAGCAATGGCAGATTAATAGACATAAAAAACGAATTACTTTGTCTGGTTTGGTAGTTGTATACAAAACCTTTGGCATAATTTCCATCTTCAACATTGTAGCAATCCACAGAGAAATGGAAAGAAAGATAATGAGAAACAACAAATGTATTTAGTGCTACATTGTTATGTTCTGATAAATAAATGTATTCTTGGATTTCAAACATCAGCTTTATGATGTTGTTATTTAGTATCTCTAAGGCTTATCCTTTACACCTCATCTGTTGTCCTTCTAATTACTTAACAAATGTAAACCATGATCTTGTGATGAACCAAAGCAAGTCGTTTTGTTGCCTAAAAATCATTTCACAACGTTAACCACTTGTTTGAAACTACAATTTCAAACCTCACTCATCCATTCTGATAACAATTACATAAAGTATAGCTGTGAGGATGTTTTGATTTCCTACTAGTGTGAACAAACAACCGATCATATGGGTCGTATTCGTAGTTGAATATTACATATATTACATAACGTTCATAGGTTATTTTGTTAAAAAAACATATATTAAAGCAGGTACCAAAGTTTAGAGAGCTTTAAATGTAAAATAAAACTCTTCTGCTACCACATAACTTCTTAATACACTGCATGGTATAAGCACAGTTTCATAATAGATGTAAACACTTGTGGAAAACTGCGACATGAGCAAACATTCCTCATTTATTCATAAAACCCAACATGTGTTTCTAGACAGTGCGATATGTACTTCTCTCGATGTGTTACTGTTTGCACTTTTCCTTAAGCTGTGATAAAGTTAATGTGTTTGCTCTGTTGTAGTGGACTCTGATTAAAGGTGATGCTTAACAGCAATATGTGTTATAATAGTGTTTGATTTGGCATTATCCATTTCTTAGGCACATTATAAGATACGGTAAATTACTGAATGATCCGAAACCAAAGAGAAAAGCTCTTAAAAAATTAATACAGGAAAGGCTTTAGCAATTATCAGCGTGAGAGGGAAGGAGATAGGTGCTCAAGATTAGTCTGAGAATATGTTTTACATGACTCACTCTTTCACCCGTGTGATCTGCTGTTCAACAATAGGTACTCAATTGAATGTCACTACAATGGCGTTTGAACTAGACTATTTAATTCCATATAGACATTTGACAAAGTGTTTAAATGATTGTATGTGTTATCTTACAGACTGGAGAAGGCAGGCTCTGGTGTGAAACATTACCACTGTCTGCACATACTTCTGCTGGCCGTCCTATTGGCAGGTATGTTCTGACATGAGCTATGACATCTTAGAGCAGACAATGGAGCGTCAGCATCCGTCATCTCAACTGGACTGACAACTTCGCACTTCTATTTATATATGTCTCCCATGTCTAAAATGCCAGTCATTCAGCGCACAAATGCACACACACACACACACACACACACACACACACACACACACACACACACACACACACACACACACACACACACACACACACACACACACACACACACACACACACACACACACACACACACACACACACACACACACACACACACACACACACACACACACACACACACACACACACACACACACACACACACCAATGGGTTTTTCTAATATCTGTCTGTTTCCTACTGTAACTTCTTTGTAGAGGAAGGCAGACAACATGACCAAGTAATAGGAAAAAACTTAAAAGATGTGTTGTAATTCAACTACTTTGGGAAACTACCATATATACTTGAACAAACGTTCCGATGTACATGGCAGTTTAAATCTAAGTGTAACATATTTAGATGTGATTTAGAATGAATTACAAGTGTCCTATGGACCATTATTGGTATTTTGTAACACATAATAACATAGTAAATAATCACTTGTGAAAAAAATGAAACATATTGATGAAGTCTGCAGTATTATAGATGCATCACTTTAAACTTGACTTTACACATTCAGTAATAATGACTATTTTAGCGTAGTGTAAAATACAAAGGTTTCAAAAAGAAATGACTCTAAGTGTACATTTAAAATGTTCCTCTTAGTCGTTCATTCTGTGCGAACTAAAAACAGTTATTCTGTCTTTTACGCCGACAGGTCAGGCTTCCTGTGTTGAGACCGATGAAGCTCTCCCCACTGTTCCTCCAACAAACACACAGCCTTCAGGTAAACATGCACGGGCATTATGTTATACTGGGTCAAACCCAACTTTATACTTCGCTCATCCACTCTGATCTCAGTAACCATTGAAGACTGATGACAGGAAATACAATATGTTACATACTATTATGCTTTTGGGGGTGTAGTGTGTTATATAGGTGTAAATGGTCTGCAAAGTCTAAAATCCTAAATTTCACGCGAGAGGAGGTTTCTCTACCACACACTCCCCCCAGCCTGAAACACCACGATTGTACTCCTTTGTTTACTTTCATAACATAAGGACATCAAGAAAAACTTGGCTTCTATTGGCACACATTATACGTGACCGGATAAGGGGCGTGACATCTCTACGTTTTTCACCAATCACAACGGAGCCAGTTAGCTAACCAATCAGAGCAGACTGGGCTCTGGTTTCAGACAGAGGGTGAAAAGAGGTGCTGCAGCACAGGCAGTATGAGAAAAATAAAGACCTTTTTGAACATTAAATCCTGTAAACAAGTCACAGAAGAGGCACACAATACAAATATGAACCTGAAAAAGAGCATAATATGTCCTCTTCAAGATCAGTTTACTAAATAGGGCAAGTACAACTCTGCCTGTGAAAACAGCTTTATAATGAACTTTGTGGATCGGGGATATGGCTGATATCATCTGTGTTATCCAAGGTTATTTATTATTTTTTCAATCTGTTTACTCAACTGCATTCTGTCTTTCCTCCTTTCACAGTATACTCCTTTTTTGTTGTCACTGTGGATGTCAAGGAAGAGAAAGATGAAGCGGAGATCGTTGCCTGGGTATGTTTAGGAATAGGTTCCGGACTTGTTGCTAACTAATATATCGGATATATGATATGTATACCCTGTAAATAAATATAATTAGCATTGTGTTCCTTTCCCCAGCTTAAACAGGTGTTTGCAAACAAGCTGCACACCTGTCTGTCTCCAAACATTGAAGAAACCACTGTCGCACCTACCTCCCCACAAACTACCTCTCCATACACTTCATATGAAACAACACTCGTGAAGACAGCAACATCAACATTACAAAGCTATAATTCAACTACAGCTCTGGCAATCACTAGGCTAAAGAGCAACAACCATACTACAAATGCTACAACTACAACGTTAAAAAGGGACAACACTACTGCAGCTGCAACAGTTACAGTATTTAAAAGCATCACCAGAACTCCAGCTGCATCAACTACAGCGTTAAAAAGCATCACCAGAACTCCAACTGAATCAACTACGGAGTTAAAAAGTATCACCAGAAGACCAGCTGCATCAACCACAGCGTTTAAAAGCATCACCAAAACTACAGTTGGAGCAACTTTGTTAAAAGGCCTCACTACAAACGAACCTGGAAGCACACTTTTTTTTAAAACAACATTGGTAACAAAAGCCACTGGGAACCGCAAAACAAAGAAGCCAAAACCAGATAACGGAAACAACAAGAGCCTAGTTCGGGAAATTCGGGCCAGTGTGACAAAAAACAGGTATCTCACGACAATTTTTGATTAAACAGACTAATGATTGAAAGGGTTCAGTGTAGGTGATAGACAACAATAGTCATACCAAGGTTTTGTTGATATTATTCATGATTGAGTACAAAAATACTGCTTTTTCTCTCAGTAGGAGGAGAATGTTGTAATTGTGCTGTCTTCATGATGTCATCATAATCAATGTGAAATCAATTAAGCAAGGGCTTGTTTTTAATTGTTTATGAGTTCAACTTTGTAAGAGGAAAATGTGATATCTCATCTACCAAAAGTTATACAGACTTTTATAGCAACTTTAAATCAATCTTGTTATGTCAATTTGATTTTCAGTGCGACCATCAGTGGCATAACATCTGATCTATTTCAAGTAAGTCAACACTAAGATGTATCTGTGGTTAACAGTGTGTGTGAAAAGAACGATCATGTGAATTAATTTGTTTTTTAACAGGATCTTTGTGTTTCATGCATCAACAAGACTGCAATAAAGTAGGTGAAGTATACATTTTCAAATGACTAAAATGTGTGTAAAGATTTGTTTTGTTGTTAACACTGACCTTATACTTCAGAGAGACCAACTGTTCTGTGTTGCTGAGGCTGAAGCAGCAGGTCCCTTTGTGTTGTATCTTCCGTACGCTCTATGAGGCCAGTCAATCCTCCTCTGACATCCATGTGGTGGGAGCAAATAAAACCGGTGAGTGTTTGCACAGTCTGAAAATAGATAATAACCTACCTAACAAATTCTCATAATGCAAGCAACCTTCTGTGTCATTGAACAGGTATACCAAAGGACTGCAGTTCCAATAATACTGATCAAGACGTTGAATTATGGTAAGGTGTTTGGTATTTAAAATCTTTTTTGTATTTGTTGTATATTTTAAAAGGTTTTTTTAAGGGGTATTTATGGGTTAATCTTTAGGGTAAATATATACAGTATGGCCATGTTATGTGCTGCCTTTTTATAAGATTTTATGAGGTTGTCTTGTTTTTATTAATCAAATTCGCCTATCTTTCCACAGTGAAGACACTGGGACTGTGGCTCCTCTAGGCAACTCAGCACACTGTGGGGCAGGTGAGCTTTCAACATTTCCTTTGAAAATCTTCAAAAAACTGAAAGTAAAGAAAATTCTTCTGATCTAGGCTACATTCATTAACCAACAATTTAAATGTAGACATGTGGCATAGGCCTAGGTTAGCCTACATGTAGTAAGTAAGTAAGTAAGTAAGTAAGTAAGTAAGTAAGTAAGTAAGTAAGTAAGTAATGTTGACTTAACTTGGACAGTTAATTGGAAGAGCCGTTGTGAGGCTAAACATTTATTCCAAGGTTTGTATTTAAAAAAAATGTGTGAAGCAGATTTGTTCGCTTTCTTGCTTAGGCTATAATGTTTTAAGAAGAACAATACCCATCTGATATATGTACCGTTAATATACAGTTACAGCCAGTTAGCTTAGCTTAGCTTAGCTTAGCATAAAGGCTAGAAACGTGCAGAAACTAGTCCGGCTTTGTCGGTAGGTAACAAACCCTGGCAAGACCACTGATGGTCACTAATTAACACGTTTTATTTTGTATGTATAAGTTCATTTATTGGCCGCGTGCAGTGTTTTGTTTACCTTTCAATGCATCTCGCGATATCACGCAAGAATCGCGCGATCACAAGATCACCTGGCGCGTCAGGTTAGTTTTGTTACCATGGAGAAACAGCAACCAGCGGAACCTCCAGGAAGTCAATGTGCCCAGCCGGCCGAGTTATATAGTCCTGCACAAATCACTCTTTAAAACTGACCCTTTATATAACCTACACATTTATATGCTATAGTTTATTATTTCGTGTGTAAATAATAGGTGAAATAATGGCACAGTGGCCAAAAATGAGACAAAGGCAGGTTGAATACTGTAATTTAATATTTAAGTGGTTGTTTTCATACTATCATTTAAATAAAGAAAACCAATATGCTTTGACTTCCAGTTCATAACCCCTGCAACTGCTCTGTCTACTGCAATGGAGTTGGTGAGTGTTTTATTAACAACAAAACCACCTGATAAAATAAGACATTTGTCAAGTGTTATCTTTTTGTTTTCAGAGGCATTCTACACTTTTCGATTTTCGGTACAAGATTCCATGATGAACTTTTCGTACGTTTTGTCCATGGTAAATCAACATGCACGTGTAGAGTATGTTCAATTATTTTCTTAAATGTCTCAAATTATACATTAATGAATTATCTAACTCTAATCTCTTGAATTTTTCCAGATTCATAACCTGGTTAAACCAGATTGCCCTTCAAGGGAAGAGTAAGTATTTGCATTCATCAAATCAAATCAAATTTGACATCAATAAATACCATTTGTTAAAATTAAAATAAATCACAATCTTTGTAATGTTCCTTTGCAGCGATTCATGTCCATTGTCCGTCATTGCATCAGAATACAGGGTAACCGACGACCAAACTGTAATAATTGTGCCTGAACTTCACATTTTAGTTTAAATAGGCAATTACAAGAAAGATCAAATTCGAATATTAAGTGAAAAATCTTTTTTTGCATTTGATTTTACCAATGTGATGCATGTCATTGAGGCAATTGGCCACTGCAAATGTGCATCTATATTGCACTTTTTCTTTTTGGTCAGATGTCCATGAAATACAAATGTTTTGCTCTGGATTGACACTGTGGATATTATGCTTTTTAACAATGAACATTTCTTCCTAGAATGCCAATGTGACATGTGGAAGCACATCAACAAAGTGAGTCTAATCCTACTCATAGCTTTGCTGGACCATTTCTTTGCATTGATGCATTTGAACAGTGACTGAAATCTGTACACTTCTGATTTTTTACTTTAAGTCTTCAAATATGCAGAGTGACTTTACGCTTTGGCCATGAGGTTCCTTTCTGTCATTTGTCGAAAGCTGTGATTCATTTGTTTGAATCTGAGCCAGGAATAAGTTACAATGGACACGTGACTCGAGCTGGTGTGTGAACTTAATACAGGGAAAACAAGTCAATTCAACAGCAATTCATGCCGTCAAGAAAATACCTGCAAGTCTATGCTGTAAAACTACTCATTTGTGTTTTTTCTTTTGTGTCCCACAGCCATTTGTGGAAATTCCTTCAGTGACAATCCATTGAATTCTATCACCATGTGGACCCAATTGAACATACCTCATGTTAACTTTTGCCAAACAATAGTAGAGTCTAACATCCTGACTTGGTTTGTATGATCTGCACTATTACAACAAAAACCTGATTTAAAATCTTAACAAATACTTGCACCCAGGATTCTAATTTCTCCCTTTTTTCTTAACAGTCATGGCGGGAAAAATATGCTTGTGGAGCTTAAAGACTCGTGCGATGTGGAGTCGTGTACACCCAGCCCGAATGTGACAACCTCACAACCAAGCACCTCCACCTCATCTGTGAATGCAACCCTCACTACTGCTAATGTCCCCGAGTCAGGTTTGTTTTCACCTCAGCACTGTGTACAACTCTGTTCCCAACATTGACATCATTATAGCATCATTAAAGTGTACTCTTCAAATGTTGTTGACTGCAGCTGAAAGCCAAGCCAATGCACTGCTTGAGTTGACCAAAGACATGTCCAAGCTGAACTCCAGCCAGGTGCGTCAGCTGGTGTCAAAGCTGGAGAGACTTTTGTCGGGCCCAACGGTCAGCTTTGCTCTCGGAAACATCTCCGTCCACATTGTCAGCAATCTGCTCGGTGCCACTCCTGAGGTGCTGTCCGACTCCTCCAACAGGTTTCACATTTCATTTATTTTGTTGTCTACAGAAATTAGATGGTATAACTCAAGACCTTTTTGAGAACTTTATTTTGACAATTCAGTTGCAAGTTGCCCCCTGGGAAGCAGTTCACTTCAAGGTCTGAATAAATGAAGGCAATGGAAAGGCTCCTCAAACTTGCACTCTCTCTAATATCCAGCAAGGGGCGACTCCACTGGTAGCAAAAATACATCCTCTCCTAAAAGAGGCTTTTATCTTTACATCACATGCATGAGAATGTATTTAATATCCAAATAGATAATGGATTTTTGTTTTGTACTCTGAGATCCTATTTCAATTCAAAGTCGGTTTGTTGTTGGAGTGTGAAAGGCAGTGAGGGTGAAAACAAAACGCAGCACCGACAGCACCAAATGTCCTGTTTTTGCCTACAAAAAAATCCATAGTATCCTATAGTATATTTAAGCAATAGCTCACGACAGGCCGTGGTACAGTATATGCTCATTATATCACAGCTAAGGGGCGTGGTTCGGCCCGACGCGAAGCAGTTTGCTTTTCAGCCCAACTGTATACAGTTTTTCTCAGACGCGGAGGGATACTGACTTGTTGTGAAAAGTAACTACAATTCTACCCGTGGTATACGCTCAGTATATCACGGCTAAGAACCAATCAGATTGCTTGATTTGACTTGTCCGTTTTATAAATGAATGTAATCATATAGTTCTAACCTGGTAGCTGGTAACAAAGGCCTGTTTCTATGGCCCAGAGATTAGGAACCACTGGTGTAACTGAATTCGCTCTAATATAATAATAATTTATGATTTGCGTAATACCAATTACATTTCCTTTTTTTAATCAGCATTATAGGGGTTGTTGATACCGTGGGGTTGAAGCTGGTCCTTGATGGAAAGGTTGAGTACCTCCTGTCCTCCGCTGTGGCTCTGTCTGTGAAACCAGCAGATGGCAGCAACTTCCAGGAAACAGTTTTCTCCATCTCAGACCCTAAGACTGTACAGGTATGACATGAATAGTCCATTTGATTATACCTGTATGAAGCATTGTCTATATAACATGCTGTTTGTTGCCAGAATGATATTGATTGAATTTATAGATATTTTACAGCAGATGTTGGATGTTTTAGAGGTTTTTAGCCTGAACAACATACATAACTTGTTTAGGTTCTGTACTTGACCTCAATATTTCCATTACTCGATGCTTCAAATCCATTTAATTCCAGAGCGAAATACAACACTTTGTTAGATCACATTTAAGCAGTTTTTTTCAGCTTGAGACCCATTACAAAACAGAAACACTGACATGCCACAGCATGGAAAAACTGTCCATCAATTCAATTTTAAACAATTACAAAAGAATGTATATCTGTAAACAAGACCCTGCATTACACATACACTGGTTGTTAGAGCTAGATTCAGTTGATTCCACACATTTAGAAAAGGTTGTTGCAGTAAACTAGGTCACCTTCTTCCTTTAATAACAAGGACATTACTTACAATTATATGTCATGGTAAATCCCTGGATTACAGTTGTTTTTGCACACAAGAAGAAATAGGTTGAGCTTGGACAGATTGACATCAATTACCCCAAATCAAATAGAAGTTGGATTTACAGTCTGATGATACAATCTAGTTGTTAAGCCAGTGTCTCTCTGTTCAGGTCCGTGGGGCTCCCAGCAGGCCCAGCAGGAAGGTGAGAGCAGACCCCCCCCTCCCGCAGGGCTCAATCAAGCTGCCCCCCTCCCTCACTGAGGACCTGACCAGCCAGGAGCAGCAGCTGGTCTCCAGAGTCCAGTTCAATTTCTATCAGAAGGACACAGTTTACCAGGTCAATACTATCAACAGAACATCACATTCCAAGCAAGAAATATAACTCATTACAATGCAGACTTGTGCATCAGATCTGTTTTGGATTTAATATCCCTGGTTTTAAGTTGATAAGGAAACCGTTTAATTTAAATATTATAACATTGTCTTCACAAACTGACCCCTTTTGTGTGTTGTGTTGTGTTGTGTTGTGTTGTGTTGTCTCTAAATATTTAGGACAGCTCTTTGAGAGGCAAACGCAAACTCAACAGTGGGATCCTGGGAGCGAGTGCGGCCAACCTGACAATAGAGGAACTCCAAGATGATGTTGTAATTCAGCTGAAGAACACAGAGCCTGTTCCAGTAAGCAAGACTGAATGATTATTTAATTTTTTTTAGGAAAAGTATGTTTGCTTTACTGTTTTTTATTTTCATAGCCGTATTGTCTTTTCATCTTTAAATATTAGACAAAGGTAAACCAGCAACTACAGCAAATAAGATCACAAGAGAATATCTGAACTTCCTTTTTTCAAACAATGTGTTATACGTTATAGCAGCTGCATATTACATTAAAATGTAAAGTTGTACAATTGGAGATTGTCAACAAATACTAGCTTATTTTGCTTTTTCTGAAACTGCAGGCTAATTTTGTGGCTATCTGCGTTTTCTGGGACTTCACATTCAATAGTAAGTTTTCCGACTATCTCAATCAGAATTAAATAAATATAAACAAAGATGAAAATATGATTAATATGTGTATTATACCTGCAGACGACTCAGGGGGCTGGAATCCAAGAGGCTGCTCTGTCCGAAAAAGCACAGACAACGAGACGGTTTGTGGCTGCAACCATTTGACAAGTTTTGCTATCCTGCTGGTGAGAAAATGAGAATTTGCATCCTTTTATCTGGTGAACACTTTTCCACTCTGCTAACTGTAACTTGTCTTTATTTCTCTTTTGCCTACAGGACCTCGCCAGACAGCCTCTAACCAGCCGTACGCAGGCCACCATCCTAACGTTTATCACATATATTGGCTGTGGAGTGTCGGCCATCTTCCTCTCTATCACCCTCCTCACCTACTTGGCCTTTGGGTGAGTTTTAGGATACATTGCATGAAGTGAAAACTGTTATAATAACCATTGAAGTAGCATATATTATATATATATTTCATTAGGTCTTGGGTCCTTAAAGGTCCCATCATATGCTTTTCGGGTTATTACCATCCCCTTGTGTGTTATGTAGCTTTTTTTTAGCTATGTAAACGGTCTGCAAAGTCACAAACCCTCAAAGTACACCCTGTAGCGAGTAAAACTCTAACACAGAAAAGACGTGTCTATGCTGCCCCAGAACGCCTCGTTGGAGATTTTTCTTTTTCCATTTTCTTCTTCCGGGGCAGGTTGACGTCACTAAGTCCAAATGGACCAATTGGTCCAAATGGACCAATCCGCACACACACACACAAACACTCACTCAGCCTGAGCTCCGCACACACACTCGAGCTCAGACCCCACGCAGGAACCAGGAAACGACACCAGTAATCCAGCTCACACTGTCCGCTCCTCGAGCCTCACAGGGCGGAGCAGCGAGCCCTGCAACGTCCCGCCAACACGGCACCCAGACCCCACGCAGCATTCTCATCTGTTTGTCATTACTGGTGTCATTTTCTGGTTGCTAACAAACGCCATAGTAAAACAAACACTGATGTTCAGCTGTAACGGTGGTTGACAGAACAGAGTGGGCGAGCTGACCAATCAGAGCACAGTGGGCTCATAGGGAGGGGGGGCAGGAGCTCCAACAAGCCGTTTAGGACAGAGAGTGAATACACATACTATACAGAGATGCTGTATGAGAAAACCAATGTGATTTTGGAACATTGAACAATGTTATCTATTCTAGTAGACCTCAACAATGGAATTATGATCAGAAGAAATGGCCAAGACATGGGACCTTTAATATACTCAAATCAATATCTGACGTTGTTTGTAAACTAGACATTGCTAACACATGAGTAACAGTTTTGTACTACTTCTGCAATCTAAATGATCTTGAACAACCAATAAATTAGATAGTGATTGGAAACACATCTGTATTACTTTGTATTGACTTCCTAATGGATCGTGGGCTTGTAGTTACGAATAAAAAATGAAACTGATATTTTTTCAGATCACTCTTTACAAACAGCTGATTAAGAAAAGTTCACTGATGATTTTTGTTTGAACATTGCAGGAAGTTGCGTAAGGACATTCCCTCTAAGATCCTGATCCAGCTGTGCCTGGCTCTGCTTCTGCTCAACTTGGTCTTCCTGGTGGACGCCTGGCTGGCTCTCTACCCGGAGGCTGTGGGCCTCTGCATCTCCACCGCCTGGTTCCTGCACTACTTCCTGCTGGTGACCTTCACCTGGATGGGACTAGAGGCCGTCCACATGTACCTGGCCCTGGTGAAAGTCTTCAATAGCTACATTTCCCACTACATGGTGAAGTTCTCGCTCGTCGGCTGGGGCATCCCGATGATTGTGGTCATTATTGTCATCGCGGTTGACAAGGATAACTACGGCCTTGTCTCCTATGGAAGGTTTTCCGATGGCACTAGTGATGGATTGTGAGTCTTCTGATACGATACCAACAAATATCCAGACACATGAAAAACAAATTCTGCACAAAACAATAAGCTAACCCTTTCATTCTCTCCCACAGCTGCTGGCTGAAAAATGACATTGCTTTCTACGTGTCAGTGGTGGCCTATTTCTGCCTCATATTTGTGTTCAACTTCGTCATGTTCGTGGTGGTGCTGGTCCAGCTGTGTCGGATAAAGAGGCAGAACCCTCACAATTTGCAGCACCGCAGCATACTGCAGGACATGCGCAGCGTGTCGGGGATCACCATCCTCCTGGGACTTACATGGGGCTTCGCTTTTTTTGCCTGGGGGCCCCTTAACCTGCCATTCATGTACCTGTTTGCCATCTTTAACTCCTTCCAAGGTGAGTTGACTCATACAGGGTTGAGTAAATTGACATAATAGTGAACTAAATAAGCAGAGAAAGGAGATATAGTGTAATACACATCTTCAGGTTCATGTTTTCATGCTTGAATGTTACAAAACACTTAATTGTTCTCATAATCTTAGTTTGAATGTACCTGTATTCACCCTCTGTCGAAAAATGCTTATTTTTGGCACCTGTCTCTTTAAGACTCTCTCCTGAAGAAGCCCAGTCTGCTCTGATTGGCTTCTGAGAAAAGTTGTGGTAGTTGAGGTAGTTCTCAGGCGGTAGGAGGGGATACTCAGATAATGGGCGGTGTATTTTAATGAGCCTGTATACAAGGATAGAATGGGGAACAAAATCTAAAGGGATTGTTGAATCCTATGTATGAGGACATTAAAAAGAGTTTAATCCACTTTTCTAAAGCTTTTTATCTTATAGTGCTCACCACTCACACACAATGTGTAAAAAGTAAGCCCAAAACCTAAACAAGTGTACTTTGCAGGTGATATACTGAACCTATAAACCCTGTTTCTGTTTTTTAGGTTTCTTTATATTTATCTTCTATTGTGTGGGGAAGGAGAATGTGAGGAAGCAGTGGAGGACCTTCCTGTGCTGCGGCAGAATGAGGCTGGCAGAGAACTCAGGTTTTTACATTTCATAACCATGCTGGACATCTATGGTAATAATTACTCATCAATTATTATGTAACATTTCACCTTTTATCCTGTGGAATTTATGTTTTTAACAGAATGGAGCCGCACTGCGACACAGAAGACCGCAACGAAGTCATCAGTGAACAGAGTCACATCTCTTCATTCCTCAAACTCGTCCCAGTTCAATAACTCATCCAGCTCTTCCTGTTTCCTGGTCAGCGACTCCTCAGAGCTCACTAATGGCATCAGTAAGTGAAGACTGCCTGCCATCCGGATTATGGGAGACACTCATGGGAAATGTTGACTGTTATACTACCGATTCATACACTGACACACACATAATCCTTAGCTTTGCCTTAAGCAAGACTCAACACATGTAAAACAGGTTTTAATTATTGCTGCGGTTTACTGGATACAAATATTAAACAAGGCTGTGCACTGCAATATTATAATACAATAATATAGTCGTCATATATTGTTACATACCAAATACTGCAGGCTCTTGAGCAAAGTGGCCAGAACAGAAGCCCAACACTTTTACCTATGTTTTATTCTCCTACAGACTTGTCATACCAGTGTACAACACAACAAATATTTACAGTATATTGACTAAATGAGTGGTTCATTTAAGTCCTTTTGAAAAAACAGAAATAATGCAGTAGTGCTGTGTTACAGGTAGCCAATTTGAAGACAATGTGATCACAGCAGAAGAAGACTACAGTACGGATGTCGTCCTCAACGAGATCAACATGCAGTACAGAAACCAACAAACGCCCTGATCCAGAAAGGACTTGACTGTTTTTCATGGGTTTCTTAGGGCAATTTTTGCCTTTATTGATACAGATGGATTGGAAAGGGGGAGAGAGGGGGGAGACATGCAGCAAAGGTCCGCAGGTCGGAGTCGAACCCCTGCAGGGAGCGCTCAGCTAAATCTCTACCGGGTTCGTTTTGGGCAGCCCAGAACTGAATATTGAAAGGCTCTTATTTTTGAAATACTTGTATATAATGTTAATAAAGACTAATTTATATACTGTCCATCTTCCTGTCACTTGTATTATATGACTTGTAATGAGCAATCCTACATTATAGCACTTGATTTTAACACGCTATATTTAAATTAAAATCTATTGTATCTGGAAGGAACCTGGAGAACCTTTATTCCTTTGTATAGGGATGTTATTGAGAGAAGTTGCTGAATAAAAATGGTACATTGCACACACTGATGTTGACTCATTGTAAACTATTCAATATTAGCACCTTGCTTTTTGAGTGTGGAAATAAATGAAGCATGTTCACACTTGTGTCAGCAGGTTCAGTAGTTTTGGCAATATCAGGTGGAAACCTTCATACATCTAGCTGGAGCCAGTACCTTTTTCTCCGGGCCATTTTTGCTTGAATAAGACAATTATAGCCAATTCATATTCCATTATATATAGTTGCAGAACATACTGGTTTTCAATACAACAGTGCCAACCTTTATCAATGGCTCGCACTGAAACTGAATTATTCTTATTATTTTACTACCCACTGTTTGTATTGGCATGTTCTCAATTACATTTATTTTGGAGAAAATAACAAATCACACATTTCCCCCTAAAACACATTTAATTGTAGAGGTCACAGAAAATAACTCAAGTGGAACAGCATTTGGTGAAATTATATTGAATAAATAAATGTAACCGAGTCCCACAGGGTTGATCACGTGTAAACGTGCTGTGTACTGTATATGCAAGCTACATTCACTGTCCTTTACATGCACCTAATACAGTATTAAAAAAAAAAAACGTAATATATATTGTAGGAACCCAAAAGGTGCTAACAGAACATGACATAAAAACAGCACAAGCACAAAGGTGGCATTAAAGTGGTGGAATAGTTTCCCTTTTAAAACACATTTGGACTTAAACACGTCAGTCTTACTGGGCATGATCACATTGCTTTGATACAATCTGAAAGAATCAAATCACATTTAAGAGGCAGTAACAAAAAAAACACAGCGCTTAAAAGCATCTCAGTTTAGCTGTGCTGAGCCTAAACATCACGACATGAGCCTATAACTCAAGTGTAGAGACGTCTGAAAACAAGAGAACACGCGCCTGTCGTACGATGAGTTGTGTGTATCAAATCAATGTTTACACATCTAACTGTTTCCTTCAGAGAACATGCAAATGGACATTCCAAGTAACACAAACGAAATACAACTGAGAGGTTGTAGCAAAAAATGGTAAGACAACTAAAACAGGAAGAAATTGAATGATGATCAGGGCAGAATGGGGTCAATAAGAGCGGGAAAATAAAACCGTCATTGTACCCCTTGAGATGTGCTCAGACTGAATGTTATCTTGTGTAATGCACATTGACTAAAATGATGGAGCGTTTTGAAGAAAAAAAAACAGCAGATTACAGTACATATGTTAGCTGTAGTCAGTTAGGAGAGGCACACACACACACATCAGGCATACACTGCCACTTGTGTGTGGAGCTCCAGTTATTTACGTTATATTTCTGCAGATCGACTCTTTTAAAGCCCAGCTAACACTGCGCTTACCCAAACGCTTACTTGCCTCTAATTTTTAATGTCACGTTCAGTCTGAACACATCTTTAAGGCTACAGCAGAAATGGGAGGAGCGTTCACATTCCAGCTGATGGGGATTCAAGCAGAGAAACTTGTTGGTCGTTACTTCTTCCATACAGAGTAGAAAACCCATCTGACACAATGGAATTAAGGATTGTACACAACAAAATAGGACAGCATGGAATCTTTTTTGCCCATTCACAAATATATAAACAATTGTTAACTCAACTTGGCTCATCATAAGATCGAACAGACACTAAAAAAAGCCATCAGATCACTGCAAATAACTAGTATATCATTATTACCAATACAAATAAGGTCCAAAGCTACACAAATATAGGTATTAAGACAGAAATAAGGTATAATACAAAATATTTGAGTGTTGTTGTAATGGGATATGAACACCACATTTATCATGAGCATAATTAAAAACATTAAAATGTCCAAATACTGATGAAAGGATACTGCTCCAAGTAGGAGGGCACACACACCACCTCTTTAGAGAACCCCACAGGACACGAGAGCTTCTTCAGCTGTTCTTCATACAGACGCAGTGCCTCCGTCATGGTCTGTGCGTTACCCTGGTGACAGGTGGCACAAGAAAAAATAAATGTCACGGGACACACGTACTGTAGATATGGATTCTTCCTAAACACAAATGGAGGGTGTTAAGTGGGAGTGGTGGGTTACGATGCTTGGCTGCAATAAAATAATAAGATGCATTTGCCACTTGTTGACATATGTCCAATGTGATGAAATATTACTTGTGTGAAACTACATTATATTGTGAGATACGGAGCATACCATTCTCTAAATATGATATCAGACTGTTTAATCAACAATAAAATAAAACATGGAATAAGAAAATGCAATCACTTCAGATTGAAATATTACTCTAGGTGCTATACAAGTTTTCAGAAGAAATAATTACACAACATTATCAGCAGTTGATTAAAAAAGCGACTCACCTGTGTGAAATATTTCCCCGAGGGATGCAAGACTTTTATTGAAAGATCTAAGATGAGACGCAGGAACTCCCATGTAGAGTCTGCAACAAGCAGATAAGACCGGCTCAGACACCAGTTCAACAAGCTCAGATCATTTATGTAACAGCAAAGGAATGAAAATAGCCTTCACAGCAGGCAAAACCACAGCGTAAAGGTTGACTAACTGGTAGAACATCATTATGTTAGACAGGTCTTCCTTTTATAAACAAACATTCTTTTTTAAACAAACTACTATTCCTTAGTTAAAAATAGTCAGGGTTTATATATTCCACATTTCTACTTCCAGATATTACTGTCAACTTTTGAATCATTACTTATTCAACATTTTTTTATTATCATAGCTTTTTTACCCCCTTATATTCCTTGAGCTGTTATATTATGTTTTTATGCTGCATGTGTGCAAATAGCTTTGGTTTGATATTTGATTGAATTAAATTAATTAATGTTTGAGTTGAGAAACATTGTAATTGTTGCCCAGCACTTCTTTTAACCTAAATTTAATTTCTGTTGAAATGTATAATGTTGTGAAAGCAATATATGCTGCACCTAGTGTATGAAGAGTGCTATACAAATACAGCCTAATTATTAATATTATGTTTCAGAAATGTAACTAATGCAAATAAAGAGAAAGTGCCTGGTGGAAATGTGGATTTTTTTTTTTTTTTAAATAAACCTTTTTAAAAATATAAGTACAGAAAATATATATTATAAAAAAAATACAGAAACCTTCTTCTGGCTCCGTGGATATCGGTATTGCAGTCAGGTCATTAATAACGTAATCAAACGTCTTTCCTTCCTGCACATACTTCCTCAGCACAGGGACACAGTCCTGAACTAGTATCTGTCAAACAGGAGACACCGAGAGCACACTTTACTTCATTAGACAAATATGCTTGATACATAACATGCACGAGTTCAGTGCAATCTCAGGTTCTCCTTATTCTGTTTGTCTAACCCTAACCCTGATAACATGATGCAGTTTTACCAAGGATGGTGGAAGACAGGTTAGAAGAACAATGCAAATAAGTAAACATGGATGGAAACAATGCTGTGTTTAAAACACTCAATCTGCTATCAAAATTGTTTACAGTCGGATGATATATTAGGTGCACCGATGTTAAAGAGGCCGTATTGTGTTTTTCCCTTTCTTGTATTGTGTTAGGTTTTTGTGGATGTAAATGGTCTGCAACGGCTAAAATCCTAAAGTTTGCTCCAGAGAGTTTCTCTCCCACACACTTTGTTTACTTCAGTAACATAATGGCATCACTATGGAACACTTGCACTTATATTGGCTAGCGCTCCAACCGCTCCAACACATTGCATGTGATATGCTAAAGGGGCGGGGCATCACTAATCATTTCACCAATCACAACAGAGCCAGCCAGCTCTCCAATCAGAGCAGACTGGGCTCTGGTTTCAGACAGAGGGTGAAAAGAGGTGCTGCAGCACAGGCAGTATGAGAAAAATGACCTTTTTGAACCTTAAAGCCAAAACCTGAAAATGAGCATAACATGTCCTCTTTCAGCTGAGTGAGAGGCAAACATCAGATGGCAGTCAAATATAAATATTCTCTCAGCACTCACTTGGTAACAGTCTCCCTCCAGGCTGTCGAGGATATTGCCACAAGTTCGTCTCATGTACTTTTTGCACGCGTCTATCACCTTCTGGTCAATGTGCACACTTTGTAAAGGAAATATCATTCAAGTGTAGATGAACAATACAAAATACAACACAAAATAGAAAACTGGCTTTTTACGTGATCGAGCTTAGAGACTGATTAAAGTCGCTGTGAGAGAAACAGAGTCACAACACAATAATACAAAAAGGATATATCCAACATGGTGATCATCTTTGGCTTCTGTTTGACCATCTCAAAAAGGATGCCTCCATCACCTCCACCTAATATCAGCACCTCTTTTCCAGCATAGCTCTCTCTTCCATTACCCATGATGGCCTGGGTGTAAGTCAAATCGCTCTCTGCCAAGTCTGCAAGGAACACAGATTATTTACACTGATGCAAATATGACCTGGTACATTTGAATCAATTGACACTAATGGTGTACTTAAAATAACATTTAAATTACAATAAGTTAAAGGAGTCGAACTGGATCTGTTTTTTCGAGAGTGACAGACATGCCAGGCACTGTATACTAGGGCTGCACCATATTGAAAAAAACTGACATTGCGATATTTTTTTTTTTCCCCTGCGATATATATTGCGGTTTTTTTAAACCATATTTAACCGGATGAAGGATTTTAGTCACGGACGTCTGGATCTTAACTGGTTGACTCATCATACCTTAAGTCATGATCTAACATGTCATGATAATGCATGTTGCTTACCCTCAAATAAGGGGGTTCATCTGTGAATGAAGAAGAGAAGAACCTTTTTGTATCCAAAATAGTTCCAGATGGCAGATGTTGCTTTTCTTTTTGGAAGTAAATCTTCATTCTCGCCGGTATTGTCCTCCTGTGCCTCGCTCATTTGTTACCGGTGTTTTGATGGTCTGCAAACTAGCGGGGCGGGGCCTGCTGTGATCTGATCGAGATCAAGAATGATTGTGATTGGTGGTTTGCTGTGCATGCAGAGACTGCATGTCACTCACTCAAGTACCCCTGACATGAGAGCCACGCAAGTTTTCCTTTTGTAGCAAGCAGCAAAATTATTGTAACATGACGTGTTTGAGTTAATTTACCTACTTAATATCGCACGTCCTAAAAAAAAAAAATGAAAAAAAAAAAAAAAAAAAAAAAAATATATATTAAAAAAAAAGAAGAAAATCGCACGTCCCTGCGATGTGAATATCGCGCATGCGCATATCGCGGTTATCGCCATGACACGATATATCGTTCAGCCCTACTGTATACACTTACTTATGTCATCATCAAGTATCAGGACATTCCCATACTGCTGTGAGTGCAATATCTTAATGTTTTGGTATGGAGAATCTTCTTCATACACCAGCTGGTCCATGTCGTACTCCAACAGTCTGTCGTCAGTCGTGGGCCAGTATCGGTCCACCTCTGCTCCTCGTACGAGGGCCGGGAGCCTTGGGAAGAAGGGTGAGCGGTGAAATAACCAACACTACTTCACCATGAATATATGCTATTGCTTTTTAACAAAATTAGCAAAGGGGCATATCCTTACCTTTTTATCCGTGTAATATTGACATTTAGGATCATCTTTAGCTTTGTTTCCAG